CAAACTTTTGCCAGCCATTTTTTATTGTTGTCTGAAATTTGGAATTATTTTTATTGGAGACTCAGCCACGCACAGGGCGGGCACAGGGGGAGGCCAAGGGAAAAGCAGCGCCAAACATTTTGACTAGTCCATAAAAATCCACTTTCAGTTATGGCCGGCAGCTATGTACCTCTGGCAGGGGTAGAGCGACTGGGACGGGAACGGGGACGGGGACGGGGAAGTGCCATTTGGCAGTGCGAGTAGGACATATGGACTCATTGTCATTGAGCGGCAAACGGGCGCTAAATCAAAAACAACGACCAGAGGGCGGAATGGAGAGAGAGGGAGAAGAATATGGGATTGGATTTAGATTTAGATTCCATATTTCGCATTCACATTTTGGTTTGGTTTGGTTTGGATTGGATTGGGCTGGAGAGTGGCAATGGGCAATGGGCAATGGATGAAATCGATTTGCAATTTCGAACACTTAAAGTCATTTCATATTTGATAACAATAATTTATGAAGCTGTTGTATGGCAGTTTTTGCAAATAAATTACATTATGTATTTATGCTGGGCTGCGTGGCGCTGGTATCTGCATCCAAGTGGATTGCTTTTTGCGATCCATACGCCCCCACCCCCAGCACCTACCCGAAGTTACTATTTAAACACAGTCCTGGACTGGGCGCTCGTCAAATATTTGCTATCAAAATGAAAGCGGCAAAAGGGTTTTTCCAACCATGTCAGCTCCAGTCCCAGAGGCCAGCGGCAACTCTTTAAACTACCCACGACCCAGCACGAGAAGGAGTCTCGGCTCATAAAAACGAACACAAACATATGGCAGGCAATTACAAATGTTGATACTCGCACGCAAATGATGCTGCAGCCAAAACACGCACTGCGGTGGCATATTTGCCCACACGCTTCGCCTCTCCTCTCCTCTACACTGCACTCCACTCCACTCCACTCCCTATGTCCTCTCTTTGCCCAGCTGTAAGCTGGCAAACACCATCTAATGCACTTATAATCCATATGCCAAAATATTCCCCATGCCCAGACAATATTAAATATGCATTTTTTGGTTACGCAGCCAAATATTAGTTGGGAACTCCATGAAACATAGTCAGTAGTGCAGCAGTAGAGTCTATTAAATCCCAATTATTATTTGTCATTTGCACTGCCCACTGTAATCCCATATTTATAGCCGTACTCGAAGAGTTAAGGGGTATATTAGAATTAGATTTGTAGTCAAGGTGGATGTGTGCAACGCACAGAAGGAAACATTTCCGACCCCATAAAGTATATATTCTTGATCAGCATCAAAAGCCGAGTAAAAATTGCCATGTCTGTTCGCCCCCACAAATGTGGCATCCACAGTTTTAAAGATACCAGAAAAAGGAAAATGCAGTCACGTAGAGAATGACCATATCTAACAGATTGCCGAATCTTGTTTAGATCGGATTATTGTCATAGCCAGAATGAAGAAATTCATAATCAGTTGCTTACCCCAGCCCCTCGCTACTCATTCTCTCCTTCGCTCACACAATATGCCGGACTCTCTTAGCCCTTTGGCGGAGTAGATATAGAATCCACATTTTAGATGTAGATGTTGATGACGGATGTAGAAAAAAAAATGTAAGCAGATAAAATATTATAAAATTCCAAATAAATCATAAGCTCATAAGTTGAGGCGCGGCAACAGAAGCAACTCACAACGTTCCTTTTCGTTTTGCTCTTAAGTCGAGCGAGGAATTGTAAAGTAACGGCAACTGTGCAGCATATATTTGTGAGCATATTGCGCTCTCTCTCAGCATATGAGAGTATATGCTCATACATCCCAGTATACATATGTATGATCCAGCACGGCAGCAGGCTATGCAGCCGCTCTCTTGCGTCTTCGTATCGCAGCATTCTTTCGTTCGCCTTCGCTATGGCGCTCTCAATCTGTCGATCTGTCGCTCTCTTGCTCCCCTTGAAAGAGTTCTGTTCCAGCACTCACTTCCTGCACATCGCAATTGAATATTTAAGCCATATTACTTTCTAAATGCATTGCAATCCAACTATAATCAATTGCAATCGAGAGAAATTGAACCATTTTAATTACATATGTACCTCCTGCTTTTTTTGTCAGAATAGAAATGCGCTCATATTGAGCTTCTGGTTTCGATGCAGAGTGCAATGGCAGAATGGGCAACAAATTCAGGCTACAGTCGGGCCCCATTTTAATTGCCACTCAAATTACTACTTGGAGCTCGGCATCGGGGCACGGCACCAATAAGAGCAATAAAAGAGAGTAGCACAGCCTCTCCTGTCCTGGCCTGTCCTGTCCTGTCCTGTCCTGTCCAGTTTGTGTCGTGGGCTCTATTCAGGCCAGGCAAGGCCAGGCCAGGCACTCCTTGGACTGACCGCACTCGATGGTCTATCTTATTTATTTTTCTAAATTGTCAGTGGGGCAACTTTGATGCAGATGTGGTTCAGAAACTTCTTGCTGGGTCGGTCGGTCAGCAGCTGTATTCCCTGTCGCCCGAGGCACAATTTGCACAAGCAATCGTTCAGCAAAGTGAGTTTGCAGCTCTCCATCGGGCGGGCAGACAGACCCCTGCCTGGCAGCTTCCGCACGAACTTGACGCTCCTGCTCCTGCTCCTGCCGGAAATCCAATCCCCTATCCGTTTTGGGTGCACATCTCTGGCGTCGCTGGCTCACCGTTATACTTTGGGGTTTCTGGCTAAATTAGATGCAACTTTCGAGTTGGAAAATTGACTTTGACTCGGGCGAAGGTCGAGAGTGCGAATATTTGATGCAGATCAAAAACAAACAGCAACAGGAGCAGGAGCAGGAGCAGTCAGTCAGCTCCTGCTGCTGCTGAAGCCCGACAAATTGCATAGCACAGCAAAACGGGATTCATCGCTGGGCTGGCGCTCTGACCGACAGCTCAGCACAATAAGAAGCCAGAAATATGTGAAAGAATTTCATTTTGTGTACCCTGAGGCCTGGGCGACTGAGCAGTGGGCGACTGGATTTTTAGGCATTGGCGTGGGTGCGGCCTGTCCATTTGATTGGATATGGGATTGCTGGCAGCATTAATAATGTCAAAGAGAAGAAATTTGCATGTGCAGCTTGCAGCTTGGATTGCCTGCGGGTGAGCCAGAGCAGCAAACAATAAAATGCATTATGAAAGATACAATTACAAAGAGCCGGACAGAGACAGGGCCCCCAACCAACCCGGCTGCCTGGCTGCCTGGCTCATCCACACGTGTAGGCAACAATAGAACATAATTGTTAGAGTTACCGGAGCACTGCATTTTCGGCAATTTTGCAATTCGATATTGAACCTGCCTGAAGCCAAAAGGAAGCAAATTCATACATACATTTGTTTCTGCATGAAGAAACCATTTGAAGTTTGTTCATTGAGCATGGGATTGGAATGGAATGGACCGGACCGAACGGACTGAAAGTCTGCCCACGAACAACCGCAAGGGAAACCAAAAGCTGGGGCCCATTGTGGTTAGCTGACCCGAGATGGATTTGAACACCTGAGTACCTGAACCTGAACCTGAACCTGAATCCACTGAGCCTGCCTGGTCGCAATTGGGAATATAAATCCACAAAGCCCGATACACCAGGGCAGCATAGGCACCTCAATTTGACAATCAAAGCTCCGGCAAAGCTGCTTCCTAGTAGGGGGAGTCCTGGAGTCCTTAGCAGCTGACATGTTCCTCTCCTCCTCTGGTGTTTTTGTCTATTTTTAGGACTGCGACAACAGAGCAGACAAAAAAATTAAAATTAAATTAAAAATCGGGAAAGTGGAAAGAGAGAAATTTTTGGCAGATAAACAGCAACTTTTGCGATTTATGTGGGCGTATTGGCAGGATAATTTAGCCAAAAATTAGTTAGCTTTCGACTCTTATTTGGCTTTCATTCCATCAGGAAAACCCCCACACACACACACATACATGTAATACCCTCGTACTTGTGTTTATGGCTCGAGCCATCGAGTTTTCCAATTTCCCATGCCTTGATTTGCTTCATTCATTTTATGTTACCCTTCGCTGACGCTCACGCTTCGGGTCTAGATTCTATTTTCAAAAAATTTCCATACAATTTCCATTTTTGTTTCGGACTCTGCGTAAAGGGTACGCCGGCCGCTGTCCGTGCCGCTGTCCGTGCTGTGCCGGTGGACCCGCAGCCAAGCGGTTTGCGACAGAGCTAAATTTAATTTGGTTAATGAGCTTGGCCTGTTTCATCATCTCCTCAGCTACCCACCCCCCCCCCCCAACAAAACCCATTCGCAGAGCTATGCGTTTGGTTGGCTTTTATTATGCTCCTGTAGCTCGCAGCGGACTGGGAGGGACTGCTGCTGCTGCTGCTGCTGCTGCTGCTGGTACGCGGATTAGCATTGGGGACACTCGTTCGCACTGGCGGGAATCACTTTTGCTTAAAGCTCGAAATGGGAATGGCAATGGGACTGGGACTGGGGACCATGCCATTGCGACAGCAGTTGGCACTTTGATTAAATGCCTTGCCTCCTTCCGTGGGTTCATTAGAAAAGCCGCCGGCATGCGCCGCCTTAGGTATCACAGCAGAGCCCATCATCCGCACCATCCGCATCGGCATCCACTGGGGCGAAACAAGGAAACAGTTTGGAGGGCAAGTCGAAACCGAAAAAGGACATTAACATTTTAATTATTTTGCCATTTGCGTTGAAAGGCGTTCGAGGCTCCGTGGTTGGTGGTTCGAGGGCCCAGGCCAAGCGTGACAATTGCCAAATATTCGGCGTATAAAACTTTATGGGAGGGAGGGAAATAAACGTAGGCCGGGGTGGGGTGGGGTGGGGTGCCATGCCATCAATATCCCGAAAATGAGAGCCATAAAAGTTAAAACTTTGCAGCGGGAGACTGTGGGAGACAACCATAAAAACAGATAAATAATTATTCGAGGGGGTAGGCAACTGATTTTACGTACCAATAATAAAGTTTCACGCTCAAGTAATTTTCTTTTCTTTGGTTTGGTTTGCTTTGCAGCCGCCTCCGTGGCCGTCTCCTCGTGGACATTGGTGGCCATTTCCTGCGAGCGCTACTACGCCATCTGCCATCCGCTGAGGTCGCGCACTTGGCAAACGATCAACCACGCCAACAAGATAATTGCCATCATCTGGCTGGGCAGCCTGCTCTGCATGACCCCCATAGCAGTCTTCAGCCAGCTGATGCCGACCAGTCGCCAAGGTGAGTGCCGCCCGAGCGCCCGAGCTACAGCCAGAACAAGATCCGAGAACTAATCTGGGGGGGGGGGCTTTTCTTTCAGGGCTCCGCAAGTGCCGCGAGCAGTGGCCCGCCGACAGCCTGAACTACGAGCGGGCCTACAACCTATTCCTGGACCTGGCCCTGCTCGTCCTGCCCCTGCTGGCGCTGAGCTTCACCTATCTGTTCATCACCCGCACTCTCTACGTGAGCATGCGGAACGAGCGGGCCATGAACTTTGGCAGCAGCGGGCCTGAAGTGCCCGGCCCCGGTGCCGGCCAGGCCAGCAGCAGCCAGAGGCGCTCCAATGGCAGCCACAGCCAGTCTCTGGAAGCAGGGATGCAGCAGCAGCAGCAGCAGTTCGGCACTCCCCAGTACTTCTACGGTGAGTGACAGCGCTCTACGGGTGGCAAAAGTGTTCAAAGATTGCAGCACGTGGGGACGGGGACTAGCGGGGACTGTTCCCGACAGGATGCTGCCAGTCGAACGACAGCCTCTCTCTTCCACCACTCTGCCCCGACTCACACAATTTACATGCAAAGTTGGCCACGCACGAAATGCGTTCCCCCCCCCACCCCATCACATCACGAGAGTGGAAGCCCAAGGCGGCCATAACGCGATGGGTGTGATGAGAGAGAGAGAGAGCCAGAGAGGGAGAGAGGCTGCTGAAGTGTCGAGGCGAAAATTTCTAACCGTGTCGCCGCGTTGCCAACAATGCGAGAGCATTTTGACATTCATTTGCATTCACTTTGACAGATTAAAGAGCGCTGCTGCCCCCTCTCCAATGATGATGGGGGGAGGGGGCTGCCAGGGCTGGGTGTCGCACTCTGCAAATAAGCATAATCCGGTGATTGTGCTTGGGAAAAGAACCCATTCCGAAGCAAATCAATTCATCTAATTCCTCGGCTTTAATGTCTCCAATCCAAGCCAACACACTTTCCATCTACTATAATTTATTCAGCCAAGTTGAGTACCGAACCGAAGGTGGTATGTACATACATTGAATTGGAACTGACTTGACGGGACGTGACGTGTATCGTGTATTATGAGTGCACACTGTGAATTGATGTGAATGCCTCGCCGACGCAGACGTTTGAGTTAAGCTCCTGAGATTTCAGCGAACGATTCTCTGGAGAAATTTCGGAGCAGACTTGTTGCTTTTTGATCATCATCAAATGTTACTCCTGTGCAACTGTCCAATGAACATCTTGGAGATGCAAGGGCTTGGATGGCATCCACACACACACACACACACACACACATCCAAGCAGCCAAGTTCGTGCTCTCTGTGTGTACGTGATGGCAGCGGCCGTCCCACAGGATCTCATTTGCATGAAGGGGTTCGGTTCGCTGCCATGTTGAGTCCTTCAGGAATAGCCGACTAGGCTCGATAACATCTCTCTGTATGCTGGCTGGCCAAATAGGTAACAACCAGAGCCCGGGGGAGGGGCTTGCAAAATGGAAATTGCGCATTAGCATAGGACCTTACTTGGCCTGACTCCACCCAGGGAATTAGAATGAATTATCGCAGCACATGAGACACAGGACAGTCGCTTGGGGTGCTGCTGCTGCTGCTGCTGCCTCAAGTGATTCATTTCCTCGTACTCGTATCCTGCTGCAGATGGTTGACCTCCTCAGGACCAGGAGAAGCGGCCATCGCACCCGGCCTGGCCTCCGCTGCCGACCCAAATAAAAAGGGTCAAGTTAAGTGCCGTAAATTATGCACGAGACAGCATTTAAGCGCTCGTTAAGAGCATCCAAAATGTTGGGAGGAACATTTTCACATACTTGCCGCCACCGACTCTCGAATGGCAAATGGCAAACGGCAACTGACAATAAATTTGATTAAATTTTTAAACTGTTCTGCTTCGTCTACGACCACTGCCTCTGCCTCTGCCACTGCCACTGCCACTGCCCCTGCCTTGACATTTTCGTGCCGTAAATTGGCACGAGCCCAACACCGTCCCGGGAGGCGGGATGTGCATCGGCGCTTCCTGGGGGCAGGGGTGGGGGCTCCGTGCTGTCAATTTGCATATCCTAGCGCCATATAATTAGAGCCGCACAACGTGCTTTAGAGGCCGCTAAAAACTCATTTGTGCCCCCCTTCCCACTGGGCGTGGATGGCGTCAGTGGAAGTTTCAGTCCCCACACAAACTGGGGCTGTACTCAAAGTGATTGCAATTTAACGATCCATTATTCCATTGCAGCCTAATTAAGCCCCCCAATGATATCCAAAAGATTTAAATATATTTCGGATCATGATTATATTCTCTCAGTGCACACCCATGCATGGAATTGTTCTCAGTGTATTTGCATTTCTCGCCTTCTTTTGTGTCTCCTCACCTTGATCGATTTACAGTTGCACTCGACGTCTGTTTATTGCGTGCGTGAGAGAGAGAGAGAGAGAGAGAGAGAGCGAGGCTGTCAGCCTCGCTCAGAGAGGATCAAGAAGCAAGATAATGAGAGCGCGAGCGCGAGCGCACGTTGAGCTTTTTGGTCCCTTGGCAATGCTGAGTGTGGGTGAGACAGAGAAAGAGACTAAGGGTAATTGCGTCGCAGGTAGAACAGAAATAAGCAAGTAAACGGCGTCTAGCGCTTTCGTAGCTGCAGCCAAATGCCGTGCTTGCTGGCCGTGAGGAAGGTGAGCGGCGAAACCTGCACTGGAGCCTGGCGCTGGTCTGCAAGATGCACGGAGTAGTCACGGAGCAGGGTAACCAGAGCCGCCTTCGCCTGGGCCAGTCCCAGCCGCATGCCCGGGCACATGCGGGGTCCGGCCCCGAAGCCTAGAAAACGGCAGCCCAACGGAGAGGTGTCCATGAAGCGCTCCGGCTGGAACTTAAGCGGATCGGCATAGAGGTTCGGGTCGCTGGCATAACGAAAGAGGGAACGAATTTTGAACAAGTATTCACAGTGGAAGAGAGAGATCGAGACGTACAGATGTATGGCTTGGACGGGGAGCACCAAGACCGTGCCCAAGGCTACTTGCAGGCTTCCACGGCTTCCATCCTTGTCCGACCTCTGTGCTGGCAGTGTAAAGGATTGGGTGCAGCGCTTCTGGAGTGCCTGCATGGCCGGGTGCAGGCGCAGTGTTTCCAGGAGCGCGGCTTCCGCATACCTGAGCTCCGCCAGGGCAGCGTGCCCCAAGAGAAGACCCCCGTGCCGCTGTGCCACCTCCGCCAGCTCCGCCTGCACACGACTCTGGGCGGACGCGTTGAGCGACAGCTCGTAGAGGGCGAAGGCGAGGAGCATGGCCGAGGTCTCGTATCCCTCGAGCAGCAGGGTGGTGGCGTGTCCCGCCAAGACTTCCTCGCCCTGCTTCTCCCCCAGCCAGTGCAGAAAGTTGTTTGCTCCGCACCCGGCCCTGGCCCGCACCAGATCACACAGCCAGTGCTGCAGGGAGAGGGGCACGTAGCTGGAATGTTGAAGGCGCAGAACATTGAGCTTTGAGTGTGGTTCCCCTGACTGCGTCCCCCGTCCTTACCCACCGATGTTGCAGGATGTACGCGAGGCGGGACGAGTGCAGCAGTGCTATGGTCTCGGGCAGGCTCCACGCACTCGGCTGAAAGAGCGGCACCAGCCACTGCAGCCACTGGCTGCCCTTCTCCTGATCCTCGTCCGGGCACAGGCAATGGGCATCCAGGCCAAAAACGGCCGAGGCAATCACCTGCAGCGTGTAGCGGGTGGCCAGCGCCTTCGCCTCGAAACGCTCGCAGCTCAGACGTCGCTCCACGAACTGCTGCAGCTGGTGGCAAGCCGCAGTCACGTGGGGCAGCGTCTGTCGCAAACGGCTGGGGGTGAACAGGGACACTAGATCAGCGCGCAGTGTGCGCCAGCGATCGCCGCTGGCTATAAACGGGTTGCAGCTGGCAAGGACATCGCGTCGGGCGTCCACATTGACAACGTTGTCCGCACAGTACGCAAAGCTGTTTCCGACGAGGATTTCGCGCAGCAGCCGCTGATCCCGCACCAGCAGGGCAGGCTCATTGAACAGGCGATAGAAGCCGACGTAGCGCAGGTCGGGATTATCTCTGATTGCAGATTGCAGATTGCAGCTTAGACTTGGGGCTTGTGGCTTGTGGCTTGAGGCACTTGTCATCGCTGCTGCTCACCTGTATATTTGTTCGTAGACCTCGCCGTATGAGCGCTGCCCCAGGGCGAAGCTTGCCATGTTGCCCAGCAGCGCGCAGCCTTGTGGGCCGGACACACCGCGTCGCCGCCAGTGGCTGTTTGACCAGGACAGTCGCCACAAGGAGGCCACAGCGAAAAGCAGTAGCAGAATCAGTAGCAGCAGCATCGCAACGACTCCAGATTTCAGTTGGGAATGAACGCTCAGAACGAGACTCGAAGTGCTTATACGTGACTGCATCACTGCAACGATGCGGGTTGCATGTTGCATGTTCAGTGTCTGCCCATTTTGCTTTGCTTGCGTGCTGGAATACTTTCCCCCTTCATTGGGTAGTTAGATGCATGCTACCATCGTTTATATACTATTCGTTCTTTAAGTGCTGTCTGTGATTGATGCACAAAAGCTATGTACACATGATAAAGAAAAGTTCTCGGAACAATTGCAGCTAGCTGCCATGTGTGTGAATGAGATTAGTCTTGTTTTGAGTATTATTTTTTAATATTTGTTTTGATTACAATGAATATGAATTTATAATGAAAATGTTGCGTATTTCTCGAGCGAGACTTTGGGCACGGAATAAAATGAGATCGATTATTTGTGCTGTTATTGGCTCTGTTATTTGTGCTGTTATTGGCTCTGTTATTTGTGCAGTTTTTGGATATTTTATTTGTGCTGTTATTGGCTCTGTTATAAGTGCTGTTATTGGCTGTGGTTTTGTGCTGTTATTGGCTCTGTTAGTTGTGCTCATATTGGCTCTGTTATTGACTCTGTTACTTGTGCTGTTATTGGCTCTGTTAGTTGTGCTGTTATTGGCTCTGTTATATGTGCTGTGTATGGCTCTGTAAACTCTACAGACTCTGTTGCTCTCTATTTCTGTTACGCAGCGGACAGTTATACCCATGGCGGCAGCAAGCGGAAGCTCCTTGGCGGCTCCTGTGAGGGGCGCAGGCATCTCTACTGCATGCGCAGTGCATCCGTCAAGTCACTGCGGCAACAACAGCACAACAACCAGCTGCCGCCGATCAATGGGAGTGGCGGCGGCGGCAGCGGCAGCGACTGCTGCAGTCGGGCCCAACGGCTGCGGCATCAGCTGCAACACCAACAGCAGCACCAGCAGGCTTGCATGGGCATGGGCAGTGATAAGGAGTCCCGCCGCAAATCCCTGTCACAGCCCAGCCTGCGCATCACAGAAGCGGGCCTGCGAAGGTAAGTCCTGCTCCCCCCCACTGGGGATGCATTCTGCATTAACTAACATTCCATTTACTAAAAATCTTTAGCATCGTGCCACGCCGCTCGAACGAGAGCAAGAGCCTGGAGAGCAAGAAGCGGGTGGTGAAGATGCTCTTCGTGCTGGTGCTGGAGTTCTTCATCTGCTGGACGCCACTGTACGTGATCAACACGATGACAATGCTGATTGGGCCGGTGGTGTACGAGTATGTGGACTACACGGCCATCAGCTTTCTGCAACTGTTGGCCTACTCCTCGAGCTGCTGCAACCCGATCACCTACTGCTTCATGAACGCCAGCTTCCGACGCGCCTTCGTGGACACCTTCAAGGTGCGAATGTGCGAGAGGGGGGGCCGGCTCTGCTTCTGGCGGCGTCGTTCCAAGAACGAAACCAATCTGTCCGTGGCCGGCAACTCGATTGCGCTGGCCAACTCGGTCATGTCCACCCACACCATACTGGAGAGTCCGCGGCTCTGAGCCGCAGGGAGTCGTCGCAGGGAGTCGCAGCGGCGCCCAGTAAAGGTGATGGAGACAGAGTCGCTGTAGGAGCTCGCTCCCCCCTCCCCCCACCCTGTACAGGCAACAAACAATATGTGATGATGCAATGAAAATGTGAACGAAAACTGAAACTAAAACTAAAACTAAAACTGTGGTTGTCAACGACTCTCAGGCGTTGTGAATGTGCGTGGATAGGTGGATTCTAGTTGGTGTCCAGTGGCAAAGTGGCACCTACCTATAGGTGTGCCCCCCCCAACCCCACCCCACCCCACACCCGTATGTATGTAATTAATTAATGTTTTTAAATGTGAATCTAGAGTTACTATCATTCGAGTTGTTAAATGTGAATTGTTAGACTTAAACTCAGCAGCAGCAGCAGCGTACACCTGCTACACGTTTTCCTATACATTCCATTAGTGGTGTATTTTCTATGTGTGTGTAGCTGTGCAATCAATCAATCAACAATCAATACCCAAAGCAAATACGGGGCCCAAAAGGGGGAATACATAAAACAGCGTTGTTTAATTATTCTACTTAGCCACCACATAAAAGATAAATGCCGCTTTCCCCCCCCCTCCCCGTTTTACCTATTGTCACGCACAGGCCAGGTTTCATTTGAAATGCATTTGACATGCAACACAAACTGCAAACTACAAACTACAACCTACAGCACACCCACTGAGGGTGAGGCTGATACTACAGGGTAAACATAAACATAAACACACAAAAACAAATACATTTAGATGCATGCATAGATAAATCACAGTTGGGATGGGATGACCCATCGCTATGGTCAATCATCGGGAAAAACCAAACAAACAAAAAAAGGAACAACAAAATTACAAAATTAATTAATATCGAATTCAAATGTAAGTAGTTGGATATTGTAGCTGAAAGTAATACATTAAATGTAATAAACACAGACACACACCCACTCAGGCATATCTACATAATAGCTACATATGTACATATGTATGTACCTACTATGTATGTGTGTATGCAAAAGAAATATTTGAATTTTTGCTCCCTGTACACTTCAACGAACTTTTGGCATTTGCCAGCTACGAGTATTCTAATATCGATATTGATCGTCTCTAAATGTTTTTATGCAAATAAAATAAAAGAATTAAACAAATTCAAATAAAAAAAAAACGAAAGGGTGAGTCGCTCGGGACGCGACCACTATACCGACCAGTCCTATATACATTTTTGAGCTAGTTTTTAATTATTTACATTTACATTTTTTGTACACGTTATCACACTACACTACAATGTATATTCCACACTAACAGTAGATTGTACAGTACCATTATATTCTACACCCTCCGCTAGGTCCGCGCACTGAACGCGGCAGAGTGGGAGGAGAGGAACAGTAGCGCAGCAGGCTGGGGGGGGGACCAACAACATTCTTATTCTGGTTTATTATGACCGACTGATTCATGCAAGGGAATTGATCTCCGAGGTAGTTTAGGCGCATGTCTTGGGGGGGGGGGGGGGGGGTTTCAGGGGGTACACGGCCATGGGCCAGGGGGGTCATGCAACAGCAGCAGCAGCAGACAGACAGACAGCAGCAGACGGCAGCAGCGCATGCCGGCTATGGGATCTGGGGGTCGGTCACACACCACTTACCCAAAAACCCACTAGTCGGGTATAAAAACAAACAAACCGATTCGAGATTCACTTAATTGCACCACCGACAATCATTGGCATAGCCAATGGGAAGCAGCCATCTGCCGGCAACTGGCTCCCAACTTCCCCCAATGCCGTGCCAGAAAGCGTAGGGGGCGAGCGGGCTGCAGCCGAAGCCAAAGCCGAGGCTCGGAAGCTAATTGATTACCTGCCAGTTTGGCTTTGCGCCGTCATTAGCTCTTGAGCTCTCGAAGATAGCCGCAGGCGGAGATGACCCACACAGGTGTGTAGTACATTGGTGTTGGATGCGACAAAGGCAAATGGCCACAGGCCTGGCAGCTTGGCAGCTGGGCAACTCGTCAGAGCTTTGCCGGAGAGGAAAGTCCCATCCGTACATTGGTTGGCCATTTGCAGCTAATGACCTGGGAATAATTTCGTTGCAGCATGCGATGGGCTACCAGTTCCGTAACCAGGCAGCCTAAGTCAGCCCTGAGTCCCTCAGTCCTGCTCTTGCCTGGCCTGGGCCATCATTGAGCTGTCAGGCACAGAGACTGAATACCCAAAGACCCCTTCCTTTTGCAGATGTCCAAGCAAACAGTAACTGGGGACACGACCACATGACACAATTAATTGAAAACGACTTTCGAATACCCACTAAATATACGAAATCTAAAAGTTCCACTGCATTTTTACATGAATTAGTTTTTAAGTACACAAATTAGAGCACACTTTTGGGCTGCATGCAAAAATCAAGTAGACATCGTCACCAAATCAATATGTACTTGATATGCAGCAAAATGTGTAGAATCGTGTAGTTATTAGGTATGTAGAAAAAAATGAAAATGTTTAAAATATTTAAAAAATAATGCCATAAAACTAATCGATTCAAAATTACCCAAAATCCGATAGAAAAAATTATAATTCTGATTAAATTTGCATTAGTTGTCTTTGGCCATGTCTCGACTCTAGCTGGATGGGCAGAAAGGAAATTGGCTTTAATCAGACGACAGTTAGCTGCTGATATTAGGGGGCACGGATTGTTCCAGACTGGTTTTCCATAAAGGTAAATGCAGACGAGCGAATATACTCTGCCAATATACAGGGGTAATAATTAATAATGACGGCAAAGCAACAAATGGCTCTGGGGAGCACAATGTTTGACTATTTCCATGCTCCTGCCGAATGGATCGATGAAACGAGAAAGGAGTGCGAGTGGTGAGGGTGAGGGTGGTGGGCTGGTCTGAATGCCGACGCGGCTAAATCAATTGCCACTCTGAGGATATCAAATGAATCACACGAAACCAACCAACCAACCAACCAACCAAGCAACCAATCAAACAACCAAGCTAACAGCTGCGGCGGATGGTGGAGACGAAGCTGAGGCCGCCCTCTGATTGATGTACAACATTTGGCAGCAAGCAAACTACGATCCCTGTGGGCATGTAGCAGTTCGAGACGACCTGCATAGCGTTGCTGGTTTGCTGGTTTGCTGGTTTGCTGGCAAAGCAATCACTCATGATTTTCAGCCACACAGCAAGGGCCGCACCGCTGATTAGACCGATGTGTAATGGCCTATACTGATGGAGTATGGTGCATGGATAATTGCAGCTGGCCCCCACCAACTGCATGCTTAATCAGGGTCAGGTGCAGGGGGAGGCAGTGTGGAAGGATTTGATTGATTTAATTTTTAGTTCTAGCCCCAGCCGACAAAACAGAACCGACTGTGACAATGGGACATGGCATCTGTGCCCAATGTACATGGGACCCAGCCCATCGCAACAACTGCAATGTGGGCGGAGTGTCTCCCGTTTCTTTGTGGCACACAACGTACGTGACAATTATCGCCACTATAACCGTATAATGAACGCCACCGCAAGACAACAACAACTGTCCAGGCCACACACACCCCCATGCCGCCTGTCTATTGTCTCTCTATTGTACATCCGAACTGGCCCTGGATGCATTCCATCCGGATATACGATACGACTGTGTGACTGTGTGACTGTGTCCGAGGCAGGGCAGGCATCTGGTATTCGAGCCGAGCCCTGCAGAAGTTTTTGCTCAGCCCATTTTGGACTTTCAATCGGATCATGGTCACGCCATGTCGGGGCGTGTGGCTCGGGTCACGTACGCCTTTCTTGCTCTGAACGATCACTGTCCCATCCATCCATCCATCCCTGCCCCCTGCCCCCTGCCCCCTGCTGCTTTGCTGGCTGGCAATAACCAGCAACTGGTTCTCCATTGGCGACAAATTCCCAAGCAATTCCGAGCAAAACTTGCACGCCCGGGACATGAATGGACAGAAATTTATGAAGTATTTACGAGCATTGTTTGGCCAAGTGTCGGGAGCTGCAGATGGTTCCAGGTTCCAGGTTCCAGAGATTGATGCTGCGACTGCAGACCACAACTCCCACTGCCCATAGACCCGAACACGACTCCCCTCCCGGACACGGGCACAGTGGGTCTGCTAGCAGAAAAAATTACTCCATCAACTTTACTGATGTGCTCGTTGCCCAGCTGAGCATTAGCTGTGGCAACCATTTAATCAAGCCACATAAATAATGATTCGATTTGTCTGCGGAGGCTGTGGATTTTTCAGCTGAATATGTGGAACATAATTCGATTAAAATTAGAAATGATTTCCCTGTGTCTGGCCGCTAAAAGAGTTTGCAAATTTATTGCCACACTTCGACTTGGACTCTGCCGCGCCGCACTGCTCTCTCCACGCTGAGTCGTGGAAACCTTTTAAGCTCCGACTAGAATTCGCATTACTCATCATTATTGTCTAGAAGGGCAGAGAGACTGCGCGTACTCGGCCATACACATTCGTGTGCATCCTCACTCGCCCCCTCGGCTCGGACGCTGCTGTTGCTTGCTGTTGCCTTCATGGCGGATACAAATAAAATTTCGTGGCGCTGAAAAAACTCCACCGCTGACTCTGGCCCACGTGCCCAACCGAAAATACAAAAATTAAATTACATTTACAGCCGAAGAGCTCGACGGCCGGACCTGGATTTGGTTATGCAATTTTACCGGCCACTAAGCCGGGGACGGGGACGGGGACGGGCATGGGCACGGGCACGGGGACCATGACTCGGGTACACGGTGAGCGTGGGCATCGGGGCATCAGGCATGGGCATGGGCATGGGGACAGTTGAGATTGTAGCATAAAAAGAGAAGCTTTTGCACGAATACTCGCGACTAATGAGGAGACTCAGGACAAAAGAAAACTGAGATTATTCACATCCGACTGCTCCTGTTAGGGTATTCAAGGATCGGCATGGCCCCTGCCCTTTCCGCCTCCCTTGCCCGGCAAACGGACGCAAAGGCGTCGCTTTTGGGTGTGAGGCGAGGCAGCAGCAGCAGCAGCAGCAACAGCAAACAGCTGTGAATATTAAGGCAACAATCGAATGGGAGTTAATTGAGCTATTGAGCCGAGTGCTTAGCGCCAGCCTAACGGTTTCAGTCCGTCCGTCTGTCTGTCTGTCCGTATATTATCATCAAGCATACGCACAGTTGCCCGCAAACACAAACTAGCATCAACGGACGACCTTGACCAGATTT